AAAAAAAAAAAAAAAAAAAAAAATCGATTAACCCAATAATCATTAGATCATGTTCCAAAAATAGGATGGTTCTCGAAAAGGTCTCGGATCATATGCAAAGTGAATGATACACATAAAGAAAAAAAGATACGCCATTTAACGATATAATTTTATGAAACCAATAGGGTTTTATTCTATACTTTGAAAGGTAAAGTGATAAAGTGGATATAAGTAGATCCAGAACATAGAACTATTCTAAAGTTTCAAAAATATTTTAAAGATTTTCAAATTTGAAATTTTTTTTTTTTTTTTTTAAAAAAGGAGCTTTTTTAGATTTATTGATGCAAGAAACATTTTTTTGTTACTCAAAAGAATGTACTCCTGATAAGATTTAAAGAATTGCGGAAGAAAATTTAAATATTAACAAAGCGGATAAAAATGCATTTAATTACGGGAGAAATAAACAAAAAAATCCAACGAATATTAACGTTATCTTTAATCATTTAAAATGGAATAAAATTAAAATTAGCACGTGTTAATTTTCCAAACCGGTTATTTCCTTGTTTATTGATTTATTGGTTAAACTATATTTTTTTGTTTACCAAATAAGATTATAGATTTCATACTATCAAAAAAAACCAACAAATCATGGAAAAAAGATATTATGATAGATTATATTTTGATAGAAAAGTTATTAACATTGTATAAGTTTAACAATAAGAAAGCCTTATTTAGAATTACTCTTTCAACGGATGCTTAACAATGGAATAAAAATAACAAAGAGGTTACTAACTATATTTAATAATTATAATGAATTTTTTTTAAGAGGTTTCATAGAAAAAAAAATTAAGGGGGAGATAAAGTTTGAATATACTGACTGTTGTATTCGATTCAATTGAGAAAATAAAGAGAATTTTTATTTTATTTTATTTTTTTTTTTGCTAAGCCATAAAGCTAAGCCAAGCTGCCAAGGTCAAAAAAAAATATGACAATCATTACTTAATAAAGAAGGAGTTATCAATTTGCATGTTTGTTTTTTGGAAATTCATTTTTGTTACAATAATATTTAAATTAAGTAATTTCTAATTAAAAAGGCCAAATGTAGATCAAAAAAAATATTTCTTTTTAGGTAAAACTCCAGATAATGATGAAATTTTGCATTCCGCATTATCTTTCCCATCAATTTTTTTTCAAACTGAAGAGGAAATTTTTTTGAAAAGAAATTTCTAAAGAAAATATTGTTTACTTTCAATTTACTAAAAAATATAAAGTCATACAATCTTTTAAAGGTCTTTGTATTGTGATCTAAAAAAAGATTTTTCATATTTAGAAATAAATAATAAATTTTTCGAGATCTCAAAAAAATTCAGCAGCAGTAATGGCAGCAGTGCATAAATAACAATAATGACAACCGTAATCTTATCTTTTTTTTTATAACGAAAAAAAAAAAATAAAAAAAATAACCGCTGTTGTGTAAAAAAAGATGCCTAAAATCGATAAAATTGATAATTTGAATCAAATATATTAAAAAAGAAGGTGTACAAAAAAATATATGGAAAATGCATTGTTGCGCAGCTCACTAATTAAAATATTGCATATAGGAAACGTTTTTATTGTCTATAATTAAATAATGATCGACAAATGTCTTGGCTTAATTTGTTTTTTAAAACCTTTGAAAGGTAGTTCTTTGGTTATATGATTCGTGTGACAAAGTGTTGTATTTATAAAAATAAATATAATAATAAATAAATAAAATAAAATAAAATAAAATAAATGAATCAAAGTTTTTGTTATTTTTTAATTTTAGATAATTTAAAATTATTATTATTATTAATGTATGTTTAATAAAGTTAGTACATATAATTTATATAATTTGTTAATATACCGTAGTTTATGAGAAAAAAAAAGTGATCAAGTTTCCTTTTCATGTGTTCAAAAAATAAAACATCAATGAATCAGTTTAACCAAAATCATCATTCTCCTCCATTTGTGTAAAATAAAAAAATGTTTCGAATTTTTTTTTTTTTTTTTTTTTTNTCTCAAAAAAATTCAGCAGCAGTAATGGCAGCAGTGCATAAATAACAATAATGACAACCGTAATCTTATCTTTTTTTTTTTTTAGTGGGAAAAAAAAAAAAATTCCTTTAATAAATCCTTTACATACACTTATAATATATTATATGTATACTGCATATATTAAATTATTTATAATTCATAATAAAAATGGGCGCCTTATGTAGTAAAAACCGTAAGAAGAAAAGTAAAAATAATAAAAAATCAAATAATCCTTACCCTTCATTATCCACGTTACCTCATGGTTTATGTTCTGATTGTAATTTACCAAATACTGATAAGATTCAAAATAAATATGGATGGTGTCATTCTTGTAATTCTTCTAAATTTGAACAAAATTTTTCTTCTTGGACGAGCAATAATCCTGTAATTGATGATTTTATTAAAGATTCTCAAATAAATGCTATGAATAATCGTCAAGTATTAGAATGGATCCCTTATGATTCCTTAAATAATATACAATTTATAGCTGAAGGTGGTTATGATTGTAAGGTTTATTCCGCTACTTGGAATGAAGGAAATATTCTTTATTGGGATTCAAAGAAAAAAGATTGGGTTCGTAATTCTTCAATTATGGTAGCGTTAAAACGATTTGAAAATTCTAGAAATGTAACTTTGGAATTTTTTGAAGAGGTAATTAATATAATATCAATTATTTTAAATATTTTAAATATTTTTAAAATTTATATTTTAAAACTAAAAAAAAAATTCTTTTTTTTTTTTTAGCTTAAATCATATTATCAATGTGGTCTGGATAATGATGGATTGATCAAATATTTTGGAATCTCTCAAGATCCAATAACAAAAGATTATATTATAATAACTGAAATTGCTACTCATGGAAATTTAAGAAATTATTTATTACAAAATTATAATTCATTAAATTGGGAAAAAAAAATAAATATTTTATTAAAAATTTCGGTAACTTTACAAGATATTCATTCTACTGGATTTATTCATCGTAATCTTCATGGTGGTAACATATTACAAGATGATCATGATTCCCCTAAAATAAGTGATTTATTCTTATCTAATTATATAGATAATAGTAAAAATCAAAAATTTTATGGTGTTTTACCTTATGTTGCCCCTGAAATTTTACGTGGTGAAGATTTTACTTCTGCTGCTGATGTTTATAGTTTTTCAATGATTATGTGGCATGTTTCTACTGGTATCCCTCCTTTTCATGATAAATCTCATAATAATCAATTGGCTATTGATATTTGTAATGGAACAAGACCAAAAATTTTACCTAAAATTCCAAAATCTTTTTCAACTCTTATGGAAAGATGTTGGGATGCTGATCCTTTACTTCGTCCTAGTGTACAAGAAATAACTGCCATGTTATTTCGTTGGCATTTTCATTTAGAACAAAATCGTTCTATTGATATTTGTAATGCTTTTAAAAAGGATTTTGATGATATTGTTGATACTCCAATTGATATTCAATTTCATCCTGATTCTAAATATATTAGTCAATTACTCGATTTTAAAGATCTTCCTGAACCCCAAAATTATTTCTCTCGTCATCATCATAATCATCATTATAATGATTCAGGATATGGAAGTTCAACAAATAGTAAGTTTTTTACTAATTAAAATTTATTTATTTACATGTATATTTTATCTAATTATTGTTATTATTATTGTTTTAAGCTTTGTCAAGTTTCAAACAAAGTGAAGAAAGTAGTTTAGCAAGTCAAAGTCAAAACATTTCAAAGATTTCTATCAACAGTTTAGGAAATTCAGGTAAATAATCCCTTTTTTGTTTGAAATTTTTTTATTTTTTATTTTTTCTCCTTTTAAGTAAATCAAAACAAAAAAATGTTTATCATTGGATATTTTTGTTTTACTTATTTAGATGAAGCTAAAATTTCATTACGAAAAGCTCCTACATATGCTGAATCTTTAAGAAAACAATATCAAGCTAGTACGTTTTATTATACAGAACCGGAATCATATTTAGGTAAAATAAATATCATTTTATTAGTAAAGTGAATGTTACATTTTAAATATAATTAATTATATTTTATTATTTATTAGATGATGATGTACCTCCAATACCTCCAATGCCCACATCCATAAAATCTGAAATAGATAAAAAAATAGAAGAAAAAAATACTGACTTGAAAAAAATAAATGAGAAAATTTACTACAATGATATTAATAATAGATCTAAACAAATTGAAAATGATATAATAATAAAACCCAATAGTAAGTAATAGATAGTATTTCACATTCAAATTATTTTCGATATTTCGTGCTTCAGATCACATGACTAATCTTTTTTTTTTTTTTTTTTTTTTTTTTATATTTATTCGCAGCACAAATCCCCAAAGCTAAAAGACATAATAAATTGCAATTATATATATATAAAAAAAAAAAAAATTATATATAAAATATATATATATATATATATATAAAATATATACTGATATACTACATACACATATACATATAATATATAAATTCTTTGTTAAAATTTCTTTATACAAAAATAAATCATTGTTCCTTATCGTAAGAATATTTCTTGTCAGATATATGTGTTATAAATGTGTCGCAATTTTTATTTGTTTCGGAAATTCGGAAGTCGGAATTTGAAATGGTTTTATAAAAATTTCATTGGGAAATGCAGTTCTTTCTAATTTGGGTTAGTTCGTTCTTGGCATATTACTAAAAAAAAAAATTCCTCGTCTAATATACACCGATGGATCAACTTCATTAAATGCACATTATAAAATAAAATCATAGTTATTAATAAAGCCACAAATTGAATTCGTTCATTTAAATCATTATTGAGTTCTTGGCATTTACTACTACTATTATTTGTTTTTAACTAAAAAGTAATAAATATTTGTTTCGTGTAAGAAATTTCCTAATATTGATAAAAAAAAAAAATATATAGGAATATCAAATCATTTCAATGAAAGTTATGCATAATCTGAATTTTTTGAGTACAAAGCAAAGATGCAGGCGTAATGGCTGAAATGTTGTGATGTGTGAGGAAAACTAAAATGTTTCTTTTTTCACAAGAAATTTTTTTTTTTTTTTTTTATATTAGGTTTCAATTATTGTATATTTAGTCTTATTTAAGCGCGTTTATTTAAGCGCGTTATTTTTTCAGTCAGCAATATTATATAATTAGTTTCAATAATTATTATCCGAAGAGAAGGTTCGTCCTAAATTCAGAAACAGTAAATAAAAATTATGTAATTATGTAATTTAGAATGTTTTTATAACTAAAATGCTTACATGATTCAATAAAATTCGGGTTTTTTTTATATATTTGGAAATAATAATAATAAAAAAAATACAAGTTTTATAAATAATATTTTATTTTAAATGTTAAAAATAAATCGAGTAAAATCGAGTAAAATCTGTTCAACTAAATAACCTTATTTCAGAGTGATAAAGTATTGATCCATCGTCCATCATTCATAAAGTATCGTTCATTTTTATTCATATTTTACAAAAAAAAAAATTGTATTTTTTCAAATAAAATTGAAATTTAAATTTCAGTATAACGAAGGATATTCAGGATTTTTGGTTTGAACTTTGAAGTTTGAATGTTACGTGACTGTTATATCGCAAGTACTTTGCGAGTTCGTTATATATCATCTGTTATATCGTATATCGATCGTATAAACAATAGTAGAAATAATAATATTAATAGCAATATTCCGTTAAGATAATCTAATGCTAATGGAGTAATAATCAGTCTTTAGACTATCCAAAAAAAAAAGTCGTAATATACTGCTTATTTTTTCAAATAATATATGGTATTAACCTTAGTTTATCCCACGATTTACGAAAAAGGTTAATCTAACTTTTCGAATTCTATTTTTTTGTGATATCATGTCAATAAACAATTCGTATTTTTATTTTGTATATTTGTTTATTCCCAACGATGACTAAAAGAACGCCCAATTAATTGGCTTCCGATATTTGTTTGTCCAGCGATGACAAAAGAACGCCCAAACAATGTTAATAATTGACCTCCGTAACACGGTAAACAATATCTTGAATGATTCAAGATATGATGTTGACATTAAGAAATCCAGGATCAAGATATCGTTGGCGAATTTTTTCTTAATTTAACTAGAATGAATCTTATCGCTGACCTATCGAAAAATTAAATTGGAGCATGCAAGATGTCTTTTATCTCGTTGGTTAAACTATTGATTTTGTTATTGACAATAGTGTGAACTATATAGAGATTTTTATTGAAATTTGTTATTTTGGTTGTAGTCTCTTTGTTGAGTTTTTTGAACCCAGACGCAACGGACGTAGGAAGTTACATAATTTTTATGAATACATTTGAAGTGTTTTAGAATCATAATACTTGTTTTAGTCAAGGAACCTAATTTATCTGAGTTTAGTACTTTTTTGAATTTAATTGCAGATACGACTTTAACGATCTCAAGAGTTATGTGAATTGTAAAGTAACTAAAGTTAAAAAAAAATAAATAATTTTAATAAATCGAAAAGAATTCTCAGTCGCTTTAATCAAATTTTGCTTTAAACCTTTTTTCAATAACTCACCTTGTTATTAATTAAGTTTTAGATCTTGAAATTGCTATGAGATATTTCATGTATTTTTTTTATATACAGTATTTTGTCATATAAAGGCAAGAAAAATAAGAGAAAAATGTTATTCATTGAATGTACTACTAAGAGGACTTGAGATATCACGCAGAAAATAAAATCAAATACATATTTGTGATAATAATAATAATATATTATATATTCCGAGCTGACAATAATTTTCTATTTAAGCTAACTCCAGATGTCGTCTACACAAACTAATTACTTTTTCATGGCAGAATCTTTCTCAAGTCTATTCTATCCTTTAATGATCCCATAATGAACTTTATTATTTGCTTCATGTTCTTGCATCAATTCACCTTTATTTTCCTCTTTAGAATGCACTGTCAGATGATAAGGTATTGGCCAGATATCAATCACCTGATAATATCCTGATATGTTAACCCAATACTTTAATGATTGTTTAATTCCGATATGGCGTTACATATAAGATACATATCGGGTGTATATATACATATCAGTATTCCATGATAATCATATGAAATATCTTTCTATCATCTCATATTAGTATTCTAATATTTCATTGATCGTATACTATAGTTGTAAGCTATTGGAATCTTTCAATTCTTCCAATTCCAAGCTTCTAATGCCAACAAAAAGTCACTGGAAGCTTCCAATGCACATCACTGCTCAATATAGTTGTTCATTTTATTTGAATACATTTTATTATTTTATCATATTAATGATTTATTTTAATGGTTTGGAATATCTTTTCATTCAAAGTTTTGAAGTTTTGAAGTTTTGAAATTAAACTTCAAAACTTATCATCATCACACTGTTCATTACAATACACCATCCATAACCCAAAAAACCTACAAAAAAGAAATGAAAACGTTAATAAAAATGATTCTAAGTTATCAACCTATTTGAAAACTTACCAGAATCGAAGTTATAGCTGAAAGATTATCAAAAAAAAAAAAAATGCTAGTAAACTTTTTTTTTCAAAAAAGTTTTCGAATTGTTAGAAAAATTATTCAGAGTTTCCAATATTTTCCAAGTTAGAGTCTACAAAACAGAGAAAAAAAAAATGTTGGCAATGGATCCTGGGTAAGTTTTTTGAACCTATTTTGAAAAACTTTAAAAAAATGGTTTTTAAGATATCAGAGTTCCTACAAAAAAAAAAAAAAAAANAAAAAAAAAATCTTTATTAATATATTAATGAAAATTTTTAAACTATTCAAAAACTCGACTAGAGTGAAGCGATCCGGATCATCCTCAGCTGAAAAAAAAAAAAAAAGATCCGGATCATCCATGAATATCCGTCAGCTGAAAAGAACGATCCGGAAAATAATTATAATTTAGAATAAAAAATCCGCGGTCCGCGGATTAATTTTCCAATTATCCACGAATGATCTACAAATCACATGATAACATTAAATATTCCATACACTTTTTTTGATTACAAATTATAACATTTACTATATTGACGATTTATTAAAATAAACATGTTTTTTCATTTTTATTTAGTGGGTAAAAACCGATTACATATGAAAAACTTGTACATATTCATTAATACTTCTACAATTATTCTTTCACGGTTTATTCACTAATTCGTGATGCTTAAAAAATTCGCATATCCGCATTTACCCGGATATCCGCATTATCCGTACGGATCATTCACGGATCGTTTCACTACATCAATGTCGTAGAACCCGATCTCGATTAAGAATGGAGATTGGAAGAATTCAGTTAGCAAATGGTGAAATCACCAAAGGTTCATCGCACATAGGTTATCTCAACTGCTTGAGAAGGATATCTTGTTCATCACTTGGTAGCATTAGCGGTTTGTCCAAAAGAATATGTAAATCACATTGATGGAAGTCCTAATGCATCCAATCTCGAATAGTGTACACAGAAAGAAAACCACTCAACATGCTGTACGCCTGCCTGTACGCCTTGGACTTCAACGCCAAGTGCTGTCCATCAGATTTTTGATGTGCCTTTCCGAGAATTTCCATCCTCAGCAGAGTCAGACATATTTATTAATTATTTATAGCAATTTAGCGATTTATAGCAATTTTATGCGATTTTATTGATTTATAGCGATTTAGTGATCTATTGCTTTTAGTGATCTATAGCGATTTTAGTGATTGATAGTGATTTAGTGATTTTAGTGATCTATAGCGATTTTAGTGATCTATTGCGATTTTATTAATTTATAGCGATTTTATGAGTTATAGACTTATAGCAATTCCTTATCAGGTTATATATTTATACAGATTTTAAATAGAAATCCATGTGTAAAAACTTTATTAATTCTTGATTAAAAATTATCCTTAAATGTTGCTTGCACAATTATTGGAGAACGTGGTCTTTCTGATAATTATACTAACAGCATGACGACGTTGCCATTAGTGGAATGCATCACTTGATAGAATAAAAAATCAAAATACATGGTGTCCTACTTTTACAGGCTATCATCTATTCCAACTTGAAATTGCTAAAAGGATTGCTATAGAAAGAGGCGGGTCATATCTTCCAACTAATGTAAAGCTAGAAATGCTCCACCGAAGTCATTAATGGTCAACAACTTATATGATGTTATACATAGAAGAAAATTGTGTATAAAATGTTCGCATAGGAATCCTTACACACACACATGAAAGAAATGGAGAATACCCTTCTGATAAAACTATTAACGGTGAATCACCATTATTATGGCGTTGTGCTGTAGGACATATGCTTATGTAGTACGTAGAAATAACTCTTGTCCGTATTGCGCAGGAAGATGACAATCAAATTGCTACTAAAAAAGGTGGGTTATGCCTTTCCGAAAAAATACATCAATGGTTACGGCAAAAGGACATGAATGGAATGACTGTTTCTTTATTGTGTCCACATTGCGGTAAAATCATGTCGTGAAATTATAGCAAAATATCTTGGTCCGCCATCTAAAATACCCAACGGATGGAGGACATCCGGAATGCTTACTTAGATTTAATACTCCAAAGAAGCGCATGAAACTACTTGATTTGCATCCATTACATATTTACATTCGGGAATAATTACAGAATGGAAGATTGAAGATTAGAACTTGTCATTTATTACCCATAATACCACACAATATGGATTTGCAATCGAAGTACAAGGAGAATAGCATGAAAAATACACAGATAAAGATCTGAGTAATTTTATCAAGCAACAAGCTCAAGAAAGCATTATGCGAAGAGAATTGGATTGACCTAAGGTATGTCATATGTACATCCTCGAGAATTAAACATAAACTTCAATTACATTGTGATTCACTATTATTTCTTTCAACTATAATTTTATCAATCCGGAATTACACGAAAAATTGAATAAAAATTTCTCAGAAAACACATCACATCATATACATGTTAATAATAACGAGCCTAATATGGGCAACCAAATAAATTATTAATCTATCGACCACACAAGTTTTCGCTCGTGGGCTCGTCTAAACTATCTATACTAACACATCATCCCCATGATCCGTTCAAATCATCGATATTCTGGATAGAATAAAACGGTCGCCAGTCATGTTTATATTGGATGCAGTGTCAGAGATAAATGAACATTAACCTTAATAAAATCTGCCGAAAATTTATGTTGTTTGATACTTCAGTCTACTTGCTTTATGACGAAGTGAGTGGTTTGGCAAATCAGGCCTTTCGTTATAAGAAAATTCGTATGAAAATCTGATAACTCGGGAAAATTTTGTATATTGCGGTAAATTGTATAATACTTGTATACTACTTGTATTATGGATAACAGATAAGAGGATAACTGATAACGCATGTCTCACAAAATATCTCGTTATTAAATAAAAATTCGTTATGAACAAAAATTCGTTATTTTATATACACTGGTTATAGACTTACTTCGTTAAACGGTATACAGCATTTTACTAGTAATCTTCGGTATAACAAGATTTTTTTACATGATAAAATTGGTACGACACCGAAGGTTCGCTATAATAAGAAATTCGCTAAATCAAAATGTTGTAAAGCGAGTGGACTGTAGTAAGATCCTTGGAACCTGTACGAAAAAACGGTCATTAGCTTGCAAGCTCCGAGTCTTCTTGTTAATGCACAAACATACCGAAAAAAATATATTTCATTCACACCTTAATTGCGCAGCGGGTTGGAAATAAAGTATTACAGCTCGGAAGACCTACTACTTTCTGTGACAGAGCATAAAGTTATTCAATTTTCTGCTGACGATGATTTATTGAGCATTATCTGGACTGCTAAACATTGAAAAATTATTAGATTTATAATAATAAGTACTTTATGACAATATTTTCCCCTATTAGAGTAGAATTATCAAATTATTATTATTTTCTTAGCATAATCACCCAGTAAGGCCGTTCCAGCACGATTGTTTGTTTAACGTACCCCATTTTTTTACTTTCGGAAAAACGTTAAACAAACAATCAACCCCAAGGTGGATCTGGATATCCGAAATTTGGTTGTAGATGAATTATTGAGATTACACAAGATATCCCAGCACATCACTAGCGCCAATGATGTCACTCGTTGCGAGTTTATTTCCCGTATTATTTACGGCGTTGCATCAATCTTTGGAGGTATCCCTAAGGTCTATTATTAGAATTTATTAGAAATTATGATTATACTTTAGAAATTATCTTATTGGAATATTATTAAACTGAGCATTATTATATTAACTTCTTGTAATTTTATATTTATATTAATAAAGTATCTTTATATTAAGACTGCGATCACCAATCAGCTACCTGATTGGTGACCGACCACGTAGCAACATATTCAACATATTCGGTACGAAATTTCTGGAAGCTATGGCAAAGGACCAGTTGATTGAGTCATAAAAGTGGAAATACAATCATAACAGTTGCCGAGGCAAAAAAAGAGGACATCAATCAAGGTATGCAGTCCAATTGCAGACATCCATCCAGCACAATCCTAAAAAACGTAGCTACGACACGGCAGGTTTACATGAAGATGTAATGTATGGATTGTATCAACTGCTGTAGATTGAGTCATAATCAAACTAGTTTCATGTTATGGACATTTCTAGTTCTAGTTGTAATGTATTTTATGAAAGAGATAAAGAACTTAACAACATTTCACTATTATTCTCAGAGCTAGATGAACCATTGGGGCATCAAAATATCATCAAAAGCTATTCAGCCAGAAGATAATATTAGATCAAAACAGAAAATGTTTATTCAAAACAATAATAGTGGTCTTGATTAATCGACATCTATCGGATGATTTTATCAGAAGATCTAATTATTCTTAATTAACCACTACCAATTAATAACTCTGTTTTAACCCGTGAGGACTTGGAAAAGCCTGTCGAAAACTTGTTTGGGTAAATCAAATGAGTGTTTGATAGTCAGATCGAATCACTGGGTTTATCGAAGCGAGTTAAAACGGATAGTTAGGATGGAGTATTAGCTTAAAAGCATCATGTATCACGGGAGTTTGTATTTATTTATTTTTCGCATGTATTAGTAAAAATTTTCTTGGCAGAAAACGATCACTAGTGATCATCAGCCGGTATAGCCTAATAGTTTGTTACCTGACATGTTTTCTATATATACTGAATATTTACATCTTGTATAAAATTTTATCAAACATGTCATCCAAGCTTGAATTATTGGAACAACGCATCACAGAGCTGAGAACGCCAAAATTAAAGGCGAAAATGCTGAGTTTGAGGCCAAGAAAGCTGAGCTTAAGACCAGGCTGTGGAAGAGAATAAGATGCGTGATGCTAGAGTTGAGGAACTGGAACAAAAAAATACGATAGTGGAACAGGGTGTTACTTCGGTATCTGTACAGCCACAGAATGATGAGGAGGTGCTGTTATCTATAGATATTCCAATATCAGCTGTTAATGTACCTAGTTTTGTTATGGATCAGAAATCATCAGAGAGGAAACCAGAGGCGATTGCAAAGCGATCGGTACCGGCCGATAGGGAGATGGATATTTTTTGGATGAGGTACATAAGAAAAAGGTTAGTGATGAGGCAACGCAATGGGGGGGGGAAGAAACTAATGCGTAAAATGGCTAATCAGGAGGCACCTCTAATTTCTCAGAATCCTACGTCCACTACTTGCAGCGAACGATAAAGTTGATTCAAGAAATCTCTTCATCCATTCCCAAAGAAAATCATGTGACTAAAATTTCCGAGATTGTTACCACGGTCACGATCTCAAAGTTATATCATCAACACAGGCCAATTCATTTTCTGCAGTCAACTTTTTCTTAACGTTTTTGGATCGTCTGGAGTTTGCTGATTTGTACGGATTTGTATCTCTGGCACCAATTTTTGCAATAATCATCAACATACTTCTTTAAACTTCTGTCATATCTAGAAAGGGTCCATCTAAGAACTACGCAGGGGCCTTTCTGAAAGGAACCATCAAATGGTTGAGAAAACAATCAAAAACCTCAAAATAAAAGTTAACCATAGAACCGAAGCCCGAACTAGTTACAAGATTGAAGATTCACACAAACTCCCGCAATATCACATAATTATAAGAATTTATTTTCTAAACAAAAAAAAACATTTTGTATATAACATGGTCAACGACATATGAGGAAACTGAATGGAAGACAGGTGGACGAGATGATGACATTAACTAGCCAGAATTCGTCCATTCGTGCCAATAAGATTCGAACCAGGGTCAATATACTAAATGACCGAAACGAATCTCCTCGATTATCTTAATATCACTAGGCAACATTGGAAGCGATAATCACACAGTACATATTTCAATTTTTAAAAGCACATTTAACCAGCCAAATTCTTCTTATTATGTGGTAGTTGAAAACAATCAAAAACCTCAAAATAAAAATATCAGTAATCTATTAATAAAATTAAATTAATATATATATGAAGTTCGGTGGATAGAGTAAAAATTCATTATTATTGGCCACAGATTGGAACCTATTTCCAAAAAGCGCGCAATAAGCGTTTAATTTATCCTTTCCTTCCTTGCGTTGTTGTAAGAAGGGACATTTTCCTTGAAATCTGCGACGTAATTCCGGTAAATTATGTGATTCATCTAGCAATATCACATAATTATAAGAATTTATTTTCTAAACAAAAAAAAAGGTTTGTATATAACATGGTCAACGACATATGAGGAAACTGAATGGAAGACAGGTGGACGAAATGATGACATTAACTCGCCAGAATTCGTCCATTCGTGCCAATAAGATTCGATATACTAAATGACCGAAACGAATCTCCTCGATTATCTTAATATCACTAGGCATCATTGGAAGCGATAATCACGCATATTCCAATTTTTAAAAGCACATTTAACCAGCCAATACTTCTTATTATGTGGTAGTTGAAAGTAATCTGAAAGAATGGAGTGACATTGCCGGCACTTTCCTCCATATTTACACAAGAATTACGATTCACAACATCGACTGTGTTAAATTTTTATCTCCGGATTTCAAAAAATTTATCACATTATCACAGACCAAGTTCAAGATCATGAGATTGATGCTGTCTATTTTGCTGATGAGCGAATCAGATGAAGAAGAAAAAGAAGTAGAAGAAGAAAGCGAAAAAAATAAGGTGCGTATATGAACATGTTATTATAGAAAATGTTTCGAAGCTTCTTTGCATCCATACAAACGAAAATCCATTCATTATGTGTCTTTATATTTAGGAAAAACAAAATGCCAGAAATCCTACTTAATTGTGGCATTAAACGCGAACCTTTCGTAATTTTTTTATTCAATGGCCGAACGGCGCTGCCTTAACTTTAATCCATTACCGCCGTGCTTACCAAATTTATTTTTGCACTACGCCTATTCAGCAGCGGCTGCTGTGGAGAAGAATTACACGGGAAATACGAACAGTGCGTCGACGAAAATAGGTAAGATCATAACACTAAATAAATTCGATTCCTACAGTTCATGCTAAAATTTGTTCCATTTTATTAGATTCTGTGGAAGATGTAAATTATAAAGAGTTTGAAAAAAAATTGAGCAAAGTTCTAGAAATATCAAGATGGAACTGTAATCATAATCATGAGGCTGCATATCAGGAATTCTCCGAACAATTTTTTATCTGCTTTTGCCTACCAGTTCTACAGTTCAAACAGTAAGAATTAGTGTATTTATGAACAGATGATGAATTTCTGATTGATTCAATTACAATATAATTTTATTGTATTTACTTTTTAGATTGAATTGTGATTATTGAAAGAAAATCAACCATATAACGGATGCTCTGAGTATTTCGCCAGGTTGTATTTACAGAGGCTGTCCTGCCAAAATCCACCATTTCTAACACACCCAATTGCAAATAATGTAATAGAGTATTTAACAAGAAATATTTGATAATATGTAGAGCATTAATGATCTGTAAAATGGTAGGATAAGTTTTTTGATTTGTTTTTTTCCTGATATCAATAAATTGATGATTTTTTTTTTTTATTTAGATGTATGGGAGATTTTATTAGTATCGAAATGCTTCAAATCTTTTTACAAAATAAACCATTTTGAGAAAGATTGAATCAGTAACGATGGAGGTATTGAATTTAAAATAAGAAATTAATATAATTATTTAATATTTTGACTTTATTTTTCTACCATGAACACACTTTATAACACTATAACACCATAATAAGATATTTTCACTCCGGACTTATATATATATATATATCGAATTTTTATATAATTTTATTTTATTAAATTAATTAAATAATTTCTTCATTTTTCTAAACGTAATTATTTTATAATATTTTTTCTTTTAAATAAAAAAATTATATAATTTTTATTTTTTTATTATTAATATCTACTTTTTTAATAAAAAAAATTTTTTTTTAATGATACAAAAAAAGAAAAAGAAATTGATTATTATATTAGAGTTATTATTATTAAAACAAAAAATGTCTTTTTTTTTTTAAAGAATCAACAGATAAAAATACACTAATTATACTAATTATTGGGAGCATTAATAGTCCAAGTATATATAGGTTTGGGATTTTCTATATTATCATTTGTTTCAGCTGTTAAAGAATCCTTTGGTCTAAATGGTTTGGTGATAACATCTATAATTTTACCACCTATGCTTTCATCTTCACCATCAGGATTTTTTCCTTGTTTTGGAGTTTCATCTTGTTTTGGCTTTTCAGGTTCTTGAGGATCTTTAGCTGCAGGTTTTTTAGGTTCTTCTTCAGTAGGTTGTTTTGGTACTTCTCCTTGAGGGATTTTAGGAGAACCGTCATCAGGAACTTTACCATCAGGAATTTTACCATCAGGAGCTTTACCATCAGGAACTTTACCATCACCATTTGGTGGAGGAGTTTTACCATCACCAATAGGAACAGTTCCGTTAATTGTTTTTCCATCCCCAATAGGAACAGTACTATTCTTATTATTTAAATCGATACCTATACTAATGTTTTTTAATAATCCTTGTAAAATGGGGAAAAGATTTTTTATGACGGTTTGTGGTAAATTTTTCAATAAATCGTTTAACCATCCAATTGGATCACCATTCTTATTAACTTGTAAAACGATAGCAAAATCTTTTTCTAAATCAACTAAATCTAATAATAATTTAGGTATTTGTAATGGATCTAAAGTTAATTTCCCTTCTACTGGTATAACATTTTTACCAGCATTTTCTAAATTATTTTGTATTATAACAGGTTGAGGTGATGATACTTCAAATATTGATGTACCACTACTTTGTAATGATAATACGAAATTACCAATATCAACGTGAAGGGGTCCAGTATTTGTAAATAAAGTATTAAGTCCAAGTGTTGGGAATATTTTAGTTAATTCTACATTAATTGGATTAAATAAGAATAATGGTGGAGGTACGAAATTAATTTCATTAAATATTTTAAATGAATTATCTGGAGGATTTAAACAATCATCCGAAGTACAAAGTATTACACCTCCGAGGGAAGCACCATCAGTATATGATTTGAACGAAAGTAAATTAGGAACAGCTGTTTCAAGAGCTTGAGACATTGGACCATTATCAACAAGTACTGTAAGACCAAATTCCCATTTAGCTTGACCTTTTTTAACATTTGGTTTAACAGCAGCTTTAGATATACCACCAGATACACCTTTGAAAAATACTTGAGCTAACAATGAAGGAATATTAAGGTTCAACGGTAAATTAGGGATAGCAGGAGAAGTAACTATAGCTTCAACACCTTGTTGAGTAAGTTGTCCTTGAATATTTTCTAAGGTAATTAAATTATTCTTTTGATTAAAATCTGAGAATTGATTAATGAATTTTCCTACATCCATTCCTACTGAGATTTTTCTTGTTAAACCAAAAGTTTTTTGTGGAGAAGGTCCAAATATTAAATTATTTATTCCAACTGGTAATGATACTGTATATGTTAACCTTCTAAATACTAGATCTGATATAATTACGGCCAATTGATTAGCAATTTGTTTATTATCTTGAAATCCTAATTCAACTGAAGTTGTAAATCGATTGCCTTCAAATTTCATTCCATTTATAACAGTTGATACGAAAAGTCCACCATTAATTGAAACATCAACACTAGCGAATGGAATATTAAGAGATATTTGAGGTAATCCAGTTAAATCAGCCACGATGTCAGTAGTTAAAGTATTTGAATTCTTGATTCCGACACTTACATCATCTAATGTAAGTTTAACAGCTCCAGTACCATCAATAAATCCACTAACTATATTAGTGATCATTGCTTTAATCGGTTGTAATATTGGATTTAACGGGAGTGAAATTAATACCTTACTAAAAGTATTTATAATATCCTTATCAGAATTTGAACTACCAAATAATAATCCATTAATATTCGCATTTCCTGGAATGACGGTACCATTGTTTCCTTCAATTAATGATTTAGCTAATGCGGCTACTTCATCTTCTAATCCATCTGAATCTTGGAAAATTAATGCGACAGTAAAATCCGTTGAAATAACATTATTAGAAGAAACTATTTTAACATCCGGTAAAATTACTCTTGTAAGTGGTGATGCATTTAACGCGACTGATAATTCAAGTATTCCCATGTTAACATTTAGGGGGAGTGAAATATTACTAATCCCTACATTTCCTTTAATAGCTAATTCTTGACCATTTGGATTCATATCAACAGCAACATTACCAATACTTAATCTATTTAACATTCCTTCAATTGTCAAATCAGTTAAAGAAAGTCCTGCCATTCCTAATAATTTTTCAACAACTACTTGATTAAGAATTAAAGAACTTGGGATTCCTACAACAACTTTTTCGAAAGATTTAATAAATTCATTAGGTGAAGGTCCAATTTTGATTCCACTAACACTAAATAATTCATTCGTTTTCCCCAAACCATTTTGTTGTAAAGAGGTGACAAATGAAGCAATTTTATCTTGAACTTGATCATTAGATGGTTGAAAATCTAAACTTGATTTTATAGAGAGTCCATTATTAGCACCAGAACCTATCGATAAATCAGATAAACTTGCATCAACAAAATTAACTAAATCTAATCCTAATGATAATTCAACAAATCCAATATCAATTGTAACTGGGAAATTATTATTAAATGATGCTTGAACATTTGCTAATATTTTATGTTGAGGAGCTGTATCAATTCCTAATGCATTCAATTTGAAACCAATTTGATCTATTAAAGTTATTGGATCAATTGATTTTGGTAAATTTTTAATTAAAGGTGTAACTAATTTTTCTAATGATAGATCTAAAGAAATTAATGAAAATGCTCTAATAACATCATCATTTGAAGCACCAATAAAAGGGTTTTTAATCGCTAAATTTCCTGTTAGTGGAGTATTATCAAAGAAACTTTTGGCCAAACCACCAAGTTTATCAGCTAATTCATCAGAATCATTGACTTTTACCGAAGAAGCTATTGAAACAACTTGACCTTCACTTGCAGCAGCTACTCGAATATCGAAAGCAGATAAATCGTCCAAAAATATTCCTACGCCAGCAAATCCGATATTCATTGTTAATGTGAATGATAAAGTAATAGTTGATACCATTTTAATTTCGATCATTTTTCCTGGTAAAAATTTAATTCCTAATTGTCCTATAACTATTTGAGCTAAATTTGGAATATTAACTGTTATAGAACCTTGACCCGCTGTTATTATATTATTACTATTACCAACATTTGTTAACATTGAATCTATTATTCCATTTAAATTTAATTGTCCTGTAATTAAGTTTCCAATTTCTGTTGAAAGAGAAATTTTTTCAAACGTACGGATGGAATCATCTGCTGATATTCCAAGTGAAACTCCGTTAATTCCTCCTTTTGTTGAAATAAAATTAACATTAATTAAAGAATCATAAATGCTTTTAACGGATTTTTGAATAGATTCATCATCACTGAATGCTAATTGAATCCCTAGTGTAACATAATTGATTCCAGCACCACTTGTTTGAATTCCAGTTATGTCAACAGATGTAAATTGTTTATCATCCAATGTAATTCCTTTGACACCAACATAACCAATATTAGCACTAACTTCAAATGGTACGTTTAATTGAGCACCAACTTTTAACGACAATACTCTATTAGGTAAAGTAGAAATATCAACTGATTTTAATTGTGGCATGAATTGAGATGATAATAATTGATCTAAACTAAGTGGTAACTTGATTGGTGATAATTCGATTACTTTATTCTTAATTGAATTAATATCTACTAAATCTGTTGGTAATGGAAGTTTAAGTAAATTCATTAAATCGTTTGGATTTTCATTCGGTCCTCCAAAATATATTCCGCTTATTTCAATCTTTTGTTTAACTTCTCCATTCAAAATATTTTTTAAGAATTCATTAACTGCAGATTTAGTTCCATCAGAATTATCAAATGACATAGCTAACGAAATATCCATATTTCCTTGATTTCTTTCCAAATCAATTCGTGTAATACCAAATGTGATAAAATTATTTCCATCTAATATAACGGTAGCACCAAAATAAGGAACTTTGGCACTAATAGGTAATGGATTAATATAACTGAATGTTGTTCCAATTAATAATTGAGCATTTTCTTTTGTTTCAATTGAAACACTTTTGATCGTAGGAAGGGTAAAAGTAGTTTCTGATGTTGGTAATATTCCGGATATATCTATAATACCGTTTTTTGGATTTTTGATCATTTCAATTACATTAATGGATCTTAAATTTTCGGCTGGGACAAGTGAAGAAGGAACCGTAATTTGTGCTGAGGAAAATTGATCAATAGTAGCTAATGTAACGTTAACGTTACCATCTTGAGTAGTGGGAGGAGGAGGAGCAATGATAAAGTTTTTGATTCCGATGATTGATCTAAAATCACCTTCAGTACTAGTTAAATCTTTAAACAATTGTAAAATGTTATCTGACATTCCATTTTTACCATCAACAATATCAATACGCATTTGTAAATTAAATGGATTTCTTCCTATTGCTAATTGAATAGGTGATAAAGTTATATTGGCCAATTCACCATAAAATAATGTTGTCGTAAATGATACTGATCCAATATCAGCTATTATATTCATTGGATTATTAAGAATAGTTTGTAAATTAATTGATAATGAATTTGATGTAACGATGGCAAAATCGACTCCTGTTAATGATAACAATCCAACTTGTTTTTGAATTGATTGTGATATTGTTCCTATAGTTGTTTTCATTGCTGGTTTTAACGTTGCTAAATTAATAGGTACTAAAATTTGGCTAAATGTAACAAAACTTAAAGTCTCACTTGCACCCATCTTAAGTCCGCTAATACCAATAATTGGCATTTTAACATTATCTTCCGTTTCTAAAACACTCATGACTAATTGCGAAATAATTGATTTCAATCTATCATCTTTATTTAATATAGCGGAAGCAACAATATTAGTCGAATTCTCTCCAGCAGTATAAAATATTCCATTAGGTAATTTTGCGGTAGCTAATAATACATCATCAGTAAAAATGGTTGATTCTAGATATCCAGTACCAATAGTTATAATAGGAAGGAATGGAGGATATTTAATAGCAACTGTTCCATTGACATTGAATCCAGCTACGTCACTTCGTTGAGTCAATCTCATTCCAAGCATTTCCGCTGGAATGCTTGTACCATTTTGAGTTAGCATGTTAATTATTGTAGTAGTATTAAATCCGGGAATCGGAATATTAAGAGAAAGGCCTCCGAATAAATCATTAGCCCAAGGAAATGTTCCTCCTGTTTCATTGAAAATTGAAAAATTTTTTATATCTGCACTGGAAATATTACCAGATAATGAAGGATTAACAATTGAAGCTAATGCACCAGCTGCCTCAAAAGTATTATTTGGGAATATTGTTACCGAAGTTACAATATTTAAGGTTTCATTATTTGTCATCGAAATTCCACCTAAATTAACTGTAAGAGCATTTTGTTCTCCCTTAAATATTCCAAGTGATGTATTATATTTAAATTCTAAGCTTGGTGGTAAAGGAAGAAAACTTGGTAATGAGATATCAACAGGAATAATTATTCTATCTTGTTGTATTTTAACATCAAAATGTATCGTGTGTAATAAACTTTCAATTCCTTTAACATCGAACAAATTTTTTAATAGCATAACATTGGTATTATTAATAATTTCATTTATTGGTAATGTTAAAGATAACTTTTCTGTTGCATCTCCAATAAAATCAACACCTTTAAGTCCAACTGGTCCGATAACATTAAATCTTAATTGATCATTTGATTGACTTATTCCAAGTAATTTTCCTGCTGCTAGAGATATTGAATTACTTAATTGATTTGGACTTACAATTCTACTTGGATCGAAAGTTAATTTTAAATTCAAGTCAATATTATTTAATCCTCTTGTTAAATTGAATCCATTAACAGATGTTGTTGCTAAATATGAATCTTCTAATTGTAAACCAATGGATGTATCAGGTAATGGTATTGAGAGAACTGTTGGATTTATCAACGCTGCTTTTAATGAAATATTTGGTCCTTCATTTGTAAACGCAATATCAAATGATTGTAAATTGATTGGTGGAAACTACGAAGAGTTAGGCGCAGTTAGTATTAGTGGCACAGTAAATAAAAAATGCGCAGCAATGATTTTTTTTTTTACTTACGCCAGGAAGGATTTGCCAATAACTAACTCCATCTATTACAATCGGTTTATTTACGTTAGTCACATTAACGCCTCCAATTTCAATAACGGTATCACTTGATTGTTGGTTCAACGTCATACTTTGCACTATATTACGTCACGATTAGTTAATTTCGTTAATCAATAAATTATAAACTTTATAATTAAATTTGAAATACTTACTATCTTTGGAAATTAAAAATTTGGGCATTGTGTTCCAAAGATCAAGTAAATTACCACTCATTTTAGGTATAGGAATAGTACGTTTAATGTTTAAATTCTTATACCAAGTTATACCCCACATATTTACAGTAATTTGAGTGTCAGCAGAAAGTGAAGTATCACTTATACCATCAGGTTTAGAAATTTCTCCTAAGAAATTTTTTAATCCACTAGTTTCCTTAAAAGAAACATCACCTTCAAAGTTTAGTGTGATAGGTTCTCCTATATTAACTTCCATTTCGGGTATACCAATAACTAATAAACTATTTGAATTTGCGTCATGAATCGTTAAATCTAAAGCGGCTAATTTTGTTTTTAAAGGAAGAAAAAATTGTTTTGGTAAAGTAGCTTTCCAAGAAAATCTTAGTCCGTCAGATTTCCATTCTAAAACATCCATGTGATCAATTGATATTTCATTTAGATCAACATGTTGTACTTTATATCTTATAAAAGCTGGTATGATTAAATAATAAGCAACTGGAGCAAATATTATTGTAAAGAAGAATGATATTATTAAGATATGATAAATAATAAATCTTCGTTTCGTTAATCGACCATTACAATAACGTAATTTAGGTTTCTCTTGGGTTGGAGCGTCTAATGATTTTACGTACGTTGGTTCATACCATGATTTTATTGTAGCGAATAAGGACTTTTTAGTATTATCAGGTTTTAGAATTTGAGATTCTCGAGGGGATTTATCTGGTTTATCTGAAATATTTGAAGTAATAGGCAATTCTTCTTCCGCATCTACATCTATTGAAAATTCTTTTGAATTATCCACTAATAATTTTTCGAAAAAAAATAGGAAAGTTAAGGATAAATAGTTATTAAGAATTGAAATAAAATAATAAATTACTTACTTATTCCAATTTCGAACCGCAGCAAGGAATTTTGAGAGTTCTAATCTCACACCAAGGATTAATTCAAATTACTTTATATTAAAAGAAACATAAAGATATTTATTTGTTATAAGATATGTAAAGAAGGTTGTGTAACTATCACAAGCTTCTTTTATAAAGCGATTTGAAGGGAATAAGGGGAAAGCGTTAGAGAAAGTAAATTATAAAATAAAGAAAGCGAAAGGAATAAGAATTTTTTTTTTTTTTTTTTGAAATGAATTACAGATTTTGCAGTATATGTAGTTTTTTTCTTTGATGACCAAATCGCGTAACGGCCATTACAAGCATAAAAATTTTGTTTAGGGCGTAGACATAGTTTAGAAGATCGGGCAAAACTAGTATTGTGTGATGTCACATATATAACTATATATTGTATGTGTTATTCGGGCAAGATTTACATATTTTTCGGCCGATCCTTTTTTCTTTTTTTTTTTATGGATAATTTTAGATATGAAATGAAATAGTGTAACAATAAGCAATATATTTAAGTAATTTTTTTATATGTTATAAGGTAAATTTTGGAATTTTTGATTACACATATTGCATTAATCATTGTTTGTACTTATGAATTAGGATAAGATTTTAACTGTATTTAGCAAATAAACCAGAAACGAGGCCCGCATGTATTTATTTACTACTAAGAAAAACAAGTATTCATGTATATATATATACACATATATACATTTTAAATAAAAATGGTGTTTTTCGTTAATTGAAATTTCTTAATCCGGTTTACAAAAATAAAAAAGGGTAAGTTTAATTGTTTCAGATATCTATATTCATTATCTAAAATATAATAGTGGCTTAATTTTGTGTTTCGAGAGAGAAAAAATATATTTATAACGGACATTAGCGTGAAATGCAAACGAGATATGATTAACATGTGTTTATTAATAAGGATAGGGTAGAAAAAAATTTATAAATACTCTAATTCCGTTTGTGTTAATTGTGCTTTATATTTTTAGAACGAAATTTTAATTGCAAATTGACTAAAAAGTTTAATTAATTTTTTTACATTCGATTTTTAGAAGAAAAATCGTAATCCTTCCTGTAAACACTCTTCTTTACGGAAAAATCATAATTAAAGGGGGGGGAGAAGATCGAAATTTTATTTTTTATTGTTATTATTTTTTCATTATTTAACTAATTAGGAAATTTTGATTATACGATTGTAATTCATTTTTAAAGGGATATTAATGCATTAACATTTGATTTTTATTTTTTAAATATTCGAGATAGTAAAAACTCCTTAAAACAAAAATGTTTAGTAAAATAAATAAATCAATTAAATTAAATAATTTAAATAATTGGATGAGATTGAATTAATCTATCACTTTTTTAGATCAAAAGAAATTTTGATTATTTTTACATTTAAAAAATTTTTTAAAAAAAATAATGATATACCAAAAATAAATAAAGTATGATAATATCATGATTATGAGTTATGACACCACCATGCGTTATCATTTTGATCTTCGCGTAGCCGTCATCGCAATAAATGAGTTGTTTATTGTATACTAAGCAAATATTTTACGCATTTTTCGTTACTAAACTTTTTTTTTTTATTTCTTAGTAAGACATGATGTTTCAGTCAAAAGATGGATAACCCCCGTTCCTCATGGGAATTACAATTACAAACAATAAATTCTCAAGATGACTGACTCCAAGAAGGAAATCCATCGATTCTTTTAAAGTTCAAAGATTATAACATCTAGCATCTATTTCCTATTAAACTTTCAAAACATCGGTATTTCTTCTGATGCATACCCCTAAGATGATTGCATAATATTTATTTTTAGGTTAATATTCTTGCTCATCGATTTATGAGGTGTGAAAAATAGATGAAAGTTTATAAAAGAATTTACCATTTGTTCTTTGTAATAATTTTCTTTTGGATTCCGTTATGATCGGATTTCTTCAATCAGATTTATTTTAGAAACAAAGTTTCTTATTGGTTAACTTTACTTCATAAAAAATTCAAAAATTTTTTTAATAATTTTTGGTATCTTCATATTGATTCGCTTGTATCATTAATATCATCATTGAGTTTAAGTGCTGGAGCAGTTATTGTATATTAATAAATATTAATGATTGTAAAATTTTTATGGATGATATTTTTAATAAAAACAGATAATTATATATAATATTAATAATATACACACCATAATAAATTTTATCGTTGTCAAAATATGCCTTTAACGGTTACTCATTATTTCTAATGAGGCATTTATCCCAATCTTGCAAAAAAAAAAATTATCAACTCTATTATGGGCGAGGGGAAGAAATAAAATTTCCTTACGATTAAATCATTATCATCTAAATTTTAGAAGACACCAATGTTACATACCACAGTAGTCCTTAATCCACCTCCCGGCGATTTCAACGACAAAACATGACCAGCATTCAGGAGATTCCATGCAGTCATACCCCAATAAATCTCATATGAATAGGATCGATCACACCCGTTCGTTATGACACGCAACAGTCGAATTAATAGAAATTATTAAGTATCGTGTAAAATCTTAGAAGATACTGATATTACTATCACGATAAAGTCCTTAAGCCACCTCCCGGAGATTTTAACGACAAAACATGTCAGCATTCAAGAGATTCCATGCGGACTTAGCTCCTCATATACCTCACCTTGCAACGCAAGTGGGTCCCAACCCTCTTTTTGAGTACCCAAACAAACTCAGCATTGAGAGATCATCATCATACCCCAATAAACCTCATTCGATCATTCACGTTCGCTACGACACGCAACAGTCGGATACTGTGGATTTAAAAAAATTTTTTGACTGCATTTGATGTAAGACTTGGATAGTTCTTTTTCTTAAAATGTGTGGCGAGTTGGTGAGTTGAGTCTCTAACGTTATTTTGAATGTCTATGTTTTTGTGTTGCTTTGCTCAATATTTTAAGTATGAAATTAAATATAATGATTTTTATAACAAGACAATTGAAAACAAAAGTCAAAACGAAGGAGGAAAGGAATAAAAAAATTTTTTTCGTAACTTTTATATTATTTTTTCATCATGCGAGTTTACTTATTACACCGCATATCGTCCATATGTAATTCACATTAATTCTTTCCATTAATGATCATAGAAAATAAACAAACATGCAGCCGTTCCTAACAAAATTCAATCCATAAGCAATACGAAAACTACAGGTAGTCCGTCAATTTGCGAAGTGATTCGTTAAATCCATCCTTTCACAATGACTAAATAAATGACTAAATATTGACATTTATTTTATTTTATTTTTATTATAAAGACATGGTAGCGGGACTACAAGCAACTGTTAGTAAATCGAAATACAAAGATGACGAAACAAAACTAAACTAATGCGAGTTCGTCCAATCCCCCAGGAAAATGAGAGGAATCGTCCAGCCTATTATTCAACGAATCCTAGGCAAAACCGGATATCACGAATAAATATCATTGACATCCGTGATCTAAATGTAAAAATTATATCATGTGATCTTAAAAATATATCACGTGATATTATATTTGCAAAAGACGACCTAGTCATTTGCCACCGCTGCCGCTTCAGAAGTTTGATAATCGGTGGCAGCAAGTAGGATTTCACATCTAACTGGACACTTCTTCCCATCTACGGCGTTTTTTACTATCTTGGCATCTTGCACCTCTGCTTATTTTTTGAATTTTCATTTGATTATATATGATAATTTCTGACTTTCATTGACGTTTTTAGATTTGCATACATATGTATTCTTTATTGATTTAACTGATACATTTTCGGTATTTCCATAAAAACTGATGATTATTCGAACGTTACTAACGTTCTTTTCCTCTTTTTTCTTTAGAGACGTTGTAAAAGTACCGAAAAAATTTAATGATTATTTACATTACCAATACCGAAAAAAATTAACACGGTAATAATATAGAAATATAACAACAGGATTTTTACGGTGTGATACTGTCATGTCTTAATATTGCTCCTCGGCTTTAAGCTTGGAATTCTCAGCAGCAGTATCTGCTCTATTTTTCTCCAACTCCTCGATTCAGCTACTAAGCCCTACCTGAACTTTGTATTTTCATCTTCAATCTTGGCTTTCTCGGCAGAAATTTGTTGTCTTAATAAATCAAATCTCAGATTACATATTTAACAATAATAATTTTATATTTTTTTTTACAAGATAGAAAATAATTCAAAAGTTTACCTTCCCCAATCATATATAGGTAAACAGAATAAAAAATTTTAGCCAATTATATGACATTCTTTAGACTTCAAACGTGAAATGAGAAGGTGAGGAAAAAGAAACCGTGAAAAAATGCCACGATCAGAATTAAATTGTTTATATATACGTTGTATAAACCACTTTTGGTCAAAAAATAAAAAATATATGTAAATACTATTATGTGTATGAAAACTGGCATATAAACCATTTTTATTTATTTCCTGATATACAGCCCACACCATTATAAAAAATCATTTTTTGTCGAATTTTTTTATTGTAGAATACCTAATTTAATGTCTTTTCTATAGAAACACTGGGAAATCTCAGGGTTTATTTTTTGGCGAATATTTAGCATACATTGTTCCGGCGAGACACGGCTTTACTATGTTGAAATCAATTTCGGAGCTATCTATAGTTATGATGTATTTAAAAACTAAAACTTGAACACTTGCTCATTTTATCGCCTAAAGAAATATCATCAAAAATGCCTATTTCGTTAGATACTTTTATTTTAGGCGGCACTACTGATGAGATATTCGTGACTGTTCTTGACGATGTAGTCCTCATAAATGATTTTAAAATTAACATTAACGCACTTAAAATTTCAAGTCTCAAGGAGGTTGATGTTGGTAAAGACAAGCTTAAAGATGTTGATACTGAAGAGAAAATCCGAAGCAAACTTAGAGGCGAGAAAATGATAGCAGGGAACCTTTTTACTGATTATTTTAAAGTTGATCAACCTGTTGACAGGAATGTTCATATCATCATTGCAATCTCTACTACCGGCAAGTGTCTCATAATATTTTGTAAGAAATTCAACTATTAATCTGATATTACATTTTTTTTCTTATATTAAAGATACTCGAAAACGCTTGAAGATAAGTAAGTTTGCACGAGTTTCAAAGTTCATTAAGCGCTGTTCCAGGATTCTCAGAACCCTAACATTTTCTCTGTGTAGGTCCGTCGTTCCTTCACACATTCTAACCCTACGGACCCAAATGTTAACTTTTATGTTGATTCTAAGGAATTTATTGAAAAGCTAGGGTATTGTTCCCTTCAACATGGGTTCTATCTCTTACTTGCTTGAACATCGCCAGAGTGGCAAAACGACCATTGCTATGGGATTGAAACGGTGGCTTGAAGATAATAGCAGTTATGTAGTTTATTATTTGAACTTTAATACCGGAATTACAACTAAAAAAGATATTTATGAATTCTGGCGGTCGTATGCCTCAAAGTTCTGTCTGTTGGCGCTGACAAAAAGATTCATCCTGAAAAATTGGTGTAAATTTTTGGCATCATTTATTTTCTCAAGTCTTATAACGAATCAAAAGATGTGGTTTTAATTATAGATGATGTCTCGATTCTGAATTATATGAAAAGTTGATCATTGATAACTTCATAGCTATGTTGAAGGAACTTAAGGAAAAGGAGTGTATGTTCTATAGTACTTATTGGCACTGAGATCATTAAGGAGTTTTTGCTGCCAAGTTCTCGAAATATTTCACCATTATCAGCCGGGCAAGAATTCTATACAACTCGTTTTACTAGTGAAGAGATCAAGAATCTTTTTACTCAATACGTTGAGGAAAATAAACTAAATGTTGATGTAGATGAAATTGTTGCAGATATTTACTCTCTTACTCTTGGACACAAGGGTCTCGTTGGCATCTGCTGCAGTGCTGCTATTATTTTGCGACTAATCTCATGGTTGGCACTAACGAAGCAAATCTCTGTGACTGGGAAAAGCATACTCTAATTCAGTTACCTCAATATATAAAGGACCAAGCAACATATAAATCATTATTCGATGTCTTAAAGACCTTAATGAGAATGAAATAGAAATCCTTACGGAGGTCCTTTACCATGGAACTAAGCAACTCTTAGAGGTGAAGTCCATTTACTTTTGTTGTCAGATATTGTAGACGTATTGTATTATTATTCACGTTTTTTTCCACTTTACCACTTTAAGGATATAAAAAACAAAAAAGATGTGCAATTCCTCCTTGCAGAAGGAATTATTGTTAAAGTACCACATACTAATTATGAATGGATGATAATAGAGTGTGCTGCACCTATCCTTCGTAATATTATGCTTTCCAGAATACATAGACCCACTATTAAGCATTCTTCACCTATTGATACAACTAATATTGATCCCGAATGGTTGTTGGCACGTACTATTGAGGTATATAGTTGCTCTAAGTTATTTATTGTTAATAATGTAATAGTTTGTATATATTTGCTAAGAAATACATCATTTTATAAAGAACATGTCTATCCAAGATATTTCCCATAAATACACTTTCAATGCTAACAATCAGCCACGGCCTATCCACATCTTGATTATCATGTTCTTTCTGAGGTTAGAGAGTATGATGAAGAAGGTCAACGTCACCAGCGTCTAAACATTCTCATTCATGAGTAAGACTTGCCTATTTATGGCCTTGAACTCTCTGTTGCAGCAAGTGATAATGTGTTTGATAATCACCTTAAACGTTCTCACAATTATTGTTGCGTCCATAAATGCAATAAGATGTATACAATCAATATCTGTCCTAACAACAAGCTGCGTACCTACTTTGGAAAGAAAAATACAACAATGTGATTCCTATTCACGTGATTTGTGACTTGAAAGATGGTAAAACAGCACTAGCTGCCTATTTAATGACAGTTTTGAGTGGAAAATGGTGCTAGTACATTAAACACATTAATGAAAATAGGTAATAACAATGAAATAATAAGAGTTGCGAAGCAATGAAGTATGTTCATGCTTTATACAGTTATAATTAAAGTATTGAACGTAGCGTAGCATATTTGTATTTAAATTATTAGTTTATGCATTGAAGAGTATACATAATACAGCGAAAACTTTATTCTTTAAATGTTATGAAAAATGTAACCCGCATCATAATTATTTTTTTTTTTGTTGTAGAATCATCTGTATATCATGTGAGTTCTCCAGTTCAGGTGGCAGACTTCAAAAATGAAGTTGCTAGGAAATGTATCTACGGTTTACTATACCAGCTCAACCAAAAATTTTATTTATCACGGTGTCACAGCGTACTGAGTTTCGCGTCATAGTCAATGCAAGGAGGAGATTTTTAGTTTTTCAAACTTTTAAAATTGCGAAATTTAGCCGGTTTACGATTCTTTTAATTTTATTTAATGTCACGTGTAACTTTTTCAACTTAGGGTTACCGTATGAAAATCTTCTATAATACGCTAGTTAATATAAATTCTGCCAAGAGCAGTGCGCAAATGTCCTAATGGTTTTTATTACTAAAAAATAATAAATTATTATTAATATGTACTATTTTATGCAATGATAATTTTATATCCGAAAATGATATGATTGATTGTAATGGTACTTTTTTTGATTCTTCACGATGTAACACATACTATAGATATCACTACCATAAGCACGCAAATGGTCATGTCCCAATAAGACTCATTTACCAAAAAAAAATTAATTATTATTATGTCGATTTCCTTTTTCGATTCTTCACAATTTTTATTATCGTCAAACTTTTCTGCTACACTATAGAACGGATATCTGCAAACGTAGTCATGGTCGAATTTTCGAATTTTTTAAATGACACTTGGCTAGATAATCAACTAAGGGGTATAAAATACATAGTAAAAGCATATGCTAACTAAAATAAGTAAAAGCGCGCACTTCATAAGGGGTTCAACTGTTCAAGGGGTTCACCTTTCGTAATTATTGATTTGATTGTGATTAATTACTCACGTGATTTGACAAATTAAAAATAATTAATGCCGCTTGAATATCTTTTCTTTTATTTATTTCATTTATTTCATTTAAAAATTTTCTTACACGTGATTACGATTTACTGTACAACAAAAAAAAAATATTTATTTTATCCATTGTTCTCAAAATTACTTTTTCATGTTATTCAATTTTATTTTTTTTTCGTTTAATAAATTGTCGAAGAATATTTATTTTTTGGTTAAACTTTTCGCTTTTCAAAAAATCATTAAATACTCTTTAAAGCATAAATTTGATCGTTATACCATCTCATTTTTTTTTGTGTGAGCTTTCTTATTATTCGTACCTTCTGTGATTTTTACACATTTCATTTTCATAAAAACCTACAATAAATTATTTATTAAAATTTATTCAATATGGAAGAAATTAGGATCAGCGATGATGTATTTGAGCAAATAAAAGATTTTAATCATTATAATATAACTGAAGAACGAAAATTGTTAATTGATAAACTAATATTAAAAGAACGTTATAAAAAGTATGGTTTATGTAAAGAATGTAGGCAGCCTTATATTAACAAATTTAATTGTGGTTATTATTGGTGTCAGTCATGTAGTACAAACCATTTTCAACAAAATTTCAAAAATTGGACTAATGGTAATCATGTCGTTGATAAGTTTATTCAAGAGGTACTATTAAATGCTAAAGATTTTTATGAAGCTTTAGAATGGATTGAATATGATAAATTTGAGGCATTTGAATATTTGGCCAAGGGAGGATTCGGAACTACTTATAAAGCAATTTGGGAAGATGAATGTATAGAGATGGTTTGGATTTTGAAAAAAGAAAAATGGAAATATATATATACAATCACTAATTTTGGCAAAACCAAAGAAATGATTATATGGAGGTCTGACTGTATTCAAAAAAGTGATATTTATGGATTTGGAATTATTACATGTAAAGTATAGGATTGTTTTCTCATCATGATGTAACCTCAATTAATTTTAGATATAGTAATAAAAGCGTGGAAAAGAGACATTACGTGGAGTTACCTCCCTTAAGGAGAAGATCTAAATCTTCTATTTCAAGGAATGACAAGTTAAATCTGCTAATTACTGATTTTGGCAGAATTAAAAAGATGATTATATGAAGGTTTGACTGTATTCAAGAAAGTGATATTTATGGATTTGGAATCATTACACGGAACATTTCCAAATTGACGCGAAGGCCGCTTCAAGAATTTGGCGGCTAGAGGAGAAAGAGCAGTACAAACGCTCTTATGGAAAAAATTTCGATGGCCCAAAATCGCGCTATCGGTTTTTTTTTTCGTATGAAGTACAGAATTGTCTTATTATAATGTATTCCATAATGAATTTTTAGCTATTAGAATTATCAAGAATTAGATCAAAGTCTAATTATAAAATTCCTCAATTAATTTTAGATATAATAAAAGCATTACTGATTTTGGCTGATTATATGGAGGTTTGACTGTATTAAAGAAAGTGATATTTATGGATTTGGAATCATTACACGGAACATTTCCAAATTGACGCGAAGGCCGCTTCAAGAATTTGGCGGCTATTATCCGACGAGGAAAAAGAGCAATACAAATGCTCTTATGGAAAAAATACCGATGGCCTAAAATCGGGCCATCGGTTTTTTTTTTCGTATGAAGTATGAAGTACAGAATTGTCTTCTTATCATAATGTGTCCCATGATGAATTTTTAGCTATTAGAATTATCAAGAACTTAGACCAAAGTCTAATTATAAAATTCCTCAATTAATTTTAGATATAATTAATCATTACTGATTTGGCAGAACTAAAAAGATGACTATATAGAGG